TCCCCCTATGATGGGACCGGGCATCGGGGGCTATCCCGTCTCCCTGCGCAGAGGGAGCCTGCGAAACCTGGTTCATGAAACCCACGAAGGGAGAGGAATGGTAACGTAAGGATCCCTCGCTTGGGAAGGTGCACGCGGGCGATGGCTTGCCTTTTCCCGAAATTCGGGGGCGAAGTCCCGAGTGGCCCGTATGAGTCCCGGAGCATCCCTTTCTAGGGCTTGCTTTATGAGCTTGCATCCCAGGCGGTTTTTAGTCACCGGGTATGGGGGATTTTTGCTGGGTGTTGCGCGGGTTATTTTGAGAGAAGAGTTTATCTCCTGCCTGTTAGTATCCAGGGGGGAGCGGCTGCTCCACGTTCAGAAGAACGGGAGAAAAGCGAGCCAAAGTTGGCCTATATTATGTTACGGGATAAACTGCGGGATGAGGTTTAAGGTCTAAAAGGGGTTTTGCGATGTGAAGATGCAAAACGAGAGGAAATCGTCTCTGGGACACCAGCAAAGGCATCAGAGCTCATGCCTTCCAGTTAGTCCCAGTAGCTAATATTTAGAGCAGTGTTTTTCAAGCTTGGCAAGTTTAAGATGTGTGGACTTCCACTCCCAGAATTCCCCAGCCAGCAGGGATACCTGACTTTCTGAAGCTGGTCTCCTCCATGTAGCTGGATTGCAGCTCCTGGAATTTGAGGCTGTGTCAGCTTGGGATTCTGGAAGTTACGGTCCCATCTTCTTATCTGTGCAAACCCTCATGAGAATGTAAGTTAAACTAAAAAATATTAATCTTCTCATCAAGCTTGGCTACTGATGGCTACTTATAAATATACCCTTGAAAGGTTTTTTTGCTTAATATGGAAGCAGGTTGTCTTCACCCTTCCCAACCTAGTCTATATTTCTGGTATTTCCTAGTGGTCTCCCATCCAAGTACTAACCAGCCCTGACCCAACTCATGTAAACCAGCCAAGGTGGCACCTGCTGCTAAATCAGTACATAAAAAGCTCCTTAAGTTTCCCTACTTGCCTTTATCTTGGCATGTTTATGTGGAGAGCACTTGCGTATATGAATCCCACTTGTAATAGGTTTCCCTAGCAGATGTTGCCTCCGTTCTTCTATACACAAATACTGTAATGGTATGTGGAAAGGACCTTGGGAGACAGGAGGAAGAGCCACAGACTAGACAATCGTCATACAAAAGCTGTCCCAGCCCACAGAAGGAAAAGGGGTGTGGGAAGCATCTCAGAAGGGATCCTCCCTAGTTTTCTGGAAGGTAAAAGTAAAGAAGGGGAGAAGTGCTTTCAGACTAGCAAGATTCTGTTACTTTAACCTTACAATAAAGGTAACGTTAGTACTTATGGTTTGTGCTACTTGTCTGGACTACCTTGAAGGGTGACAGATGACAGCAGCTTTTTTTAACACATCTTAAGAGACAACAGAGTAAGAAATCCTTCTACTCTGAGCCATTATTGTCAGGGCCTGCATATTAGGACAGTAGATGGACTGTGAATCAGAGCCCTAAAGGAAAGGTGTTAGATCAGAGAGAGCATCTTGCGAGGGGAAATGTGGATGATAATCCTTCATTTGCAGCTACCCTGAACTGCTGTCAAGACAGGATCAGGGGGAGAATCTAAGAATTCATAAGAAGTGCAGAAAAGTTAGAGTGACCCTGATAAAACTATCACTACAGACCAGAAAAAGAATTAGGTGTGAGACCAGTTAGATAATAATAATTATTATTATTATTTATGAAACTTGTATGCCACCTGACTCTCAATGACTCTGGGTGGCTCACAACAGTCGAACAATAAAATTACAATAAAATCAATAAAAGATAAAAGATGGCAAGTACGATGAAGCGCGGGGTCTCACACTCCCTTGCCAAAGGCCTAAGTGAAGAGCCAGGTCTTCACGGCTCTTCTAAACGACAGCAGAGTGGGGTCCATCCGGGTCTTGGGGACAACCTTGTTCCAGAGGGGAGACAGTGCTACAGAGAAAGTGCGCTTCTGGAGTCCTGATAGATGGCATTGTTTAACTGAAGAAACCCGGAGTCAAGGAACCCGGAGTCCACCAACCCTGCAGGATTAAATTGGCAGGGCAGATGTTAAGGGAGACAGATGGTCCCTCAGGTAACCAGGCCCTGTGCCATGTGGATCCTGAGTTATTAAGTTTGGTTGTTACAAGGTCAAAAGTTGGGTTCTTTCCCTGAGCTGATATTTGTCTGTCCCAATGAAACAAAATAATGATTTAAACTACTTGTCCCAGTCACAGGTTTATATTTTTAAAATATATAATAGTACAACAGATTGCACAGAAGGTTGTTTGGAATCCAAAGCAATCTGGTTGGATTTCAAAGATTGACAATAATAACCATCTTTCCTTTAATCTCTTTTTAATGCCAGATAATTGTTTGTGAAGTCCTTGGGGTTCTCTGAGCTTGGTTGTTTTCTTGCAAACTTTTCATTACCTGTCTAGGTAACATTTTCAATGCTAAAATCCCATTCCATTCTAACACTGAAGATGTTACCTAGCCGGGTAATGAAACGTTTGCAAGAAAACAACCAAGCTCAGAGAACCCCAAGGACTCCACAGTGAGCTACACATATTGGGTTCTATTGAGATAATTGTTTGTTTGAGGGGGAGGGAGAGAGACCTTGATCTAATCATGCATTAGAAAGTACAAGTTTAGAAGTCTTTGCAAATGTTCTTTGGCCAGCGTTCTATGAGTTCCCACGCATCTAATTCACATGGACACACAGACAGTAAAGAAAGAGAAATGGATTTGATCCAATGAAAATGCTATATATTTTTCTACTGTCATAAATAAATAAAATCATTGTGTAATGTTTTCCTCCCACATAACGGCCATCTTTAACAAAACTCCTCTTTTTATTCATAACTAGTTCCAGTGGAGGAAAGAACCACCCAAGCACAAAAGATTTAAAGAAATCAACATTTCTAAGGCCATCTTCCAAGAGGCCAGGGAAAAATTCATCTACTATTGCAGAAAAGGTGAGACCACTTATATTTTTATTGAATGCAAATTACCCTTAGATGTTCATGTCCCTCTTCCCACTGCAATTATAACTGAACATTAATTCATTTCTTCTAGGCTCCTGTTCAGGCTACAGACAGACAGGTCACAGTTAAATACAAAGAGAAAAAGCAGGTTTATGAAGGTCATCAACCAAACAGGTAAAGTTCTTTTTTAGTACGGTTGCACTTTTGGAATGAGAAGTAGATTTGTTTTTCACAGGCAATTGGGAATGGGTAAAGGGAGATGTAATAACCTTGAAAGGGATAGGATATGAAAGTTTAATCGAGGTACTGATCCGTTGGAAATACATCCTCCTTGATGTTAATTTCCTGTTCAATTCTGGTATCATAGTGCCAATTTCCTGGCATTAATTTCCCTAAGGATTAGTACTGAAAAGACTGATTGCCTTGATCTACACTGATATAATGGTCATCACAGTGACAGTAGATGCCATCAGATGGCATTAAGTTTCAGCATGGTTTGATTCTTACTTTGCCAGCTGATTCCAGAAGGTGGCACTAATCATTTAGTACTCATCTCAAGGTTTTTAGGCCCTACCTTCTCACCAAAGCACCTTGATCTCCCTTTAAAGAAAAGTCATGAAAGTTAGAGAACCATTCAGTGCAGTGCAAAGGGGTTGTATCTGAAAGAGAAAATTGGTGGCTCTTCTTTTAGAGTCATGGAACTTTAGGCAACCTGAACATAATTTATCCTGGTGAAGACATCCACTACTATGGCTTTGATCTTAGGGAACCATGTTATTTCTGTTTTATATTATAATGGTAACAAGCAGCAGTCAAGGTTGATACCTGAAGAGGAGTTACATCTCCTTTATTTTATCTATTTATGTTAAGGAATTAGAGCCTACTGGTAAAAAATTACCAGATGTCACTTTTTTCTCTCTCTTCTCTCTGTCATTCTCTTAAAAAAAAAAAAAAAAATTAAAAGTCATTAGATCATAAAATAGGAGACCTTAGAGCTTGTTTCTAGCATAAGAGCACACTTGCACAATCAGTAGCATAATAATTCAATTGAACTAAAACAAATGGTTTTGATTAAAGAAAGGCATTTGTTCAAAAAGACTAATGAGAAGAGACCAGCTTTTAAATGTAAATCCAAACTGAAATTCACTTTACAACAAATGGGATGTTTTTACCACTGTTTATATAGTAGGAACAGGTTAACTTAAAGCTTTTGAGATTGTGCTAAATATCTAAAGAATGTTTTTCCTGAAAACATTGTTTTTGTTTTGAAAATTTGGCCTGCATGTCCTAATTTCTAACTTCTTTAGATGCCTTGCTTTCACCTTCTAAGATTCTAAAATGCATAAAGTTACAGTTTATTTATATGGTTTATAGAATTTAAGTTAATTTTTTACTTTTTATTGCCCCATCTTTTCTTTTAATGTAGTTTAGATGGAGTTGAAGATTTTCACTCTCCAGAGATTGCTAAACTCCAACACCCAGCATCCCTCATCATTGCCCTGCAGTTCAGGCCTGCTGAGGGTTGTAATTCAAGCTCATCTGGAGGGCTGTATGTTCTCAGTGCTTGATGTACAGGTAGTCCTTGCTTAACAACCATTCATTCAGTGACTGTTCAAAGTTATGATGATGCTGAATGAGTGTTAGGCTGGTCCTCGAAATTACAGCTGTTGAAGCACCCCCCACGGTCATGTGATCAAAATTCGGATGCTTGTCAGCCTGCCCACATTTACAACTGTAGTATGTGCTTCAACTCCTCCCACCTGCCTATCTCCCCCATCTCTGCCTTTTTGGCTGTCCTGCACACCACTGTCGCCTACCCCTGCCACTCCCAGTTGACCTTCGCTGTCTTCTTCCACTGCTAATGAGGTGTGCCTGGCTGAGGCAGCTGCTGGCCCTTCGCGAGGGGTCCCCGAAGGAGGAAGAAGATGGTGAAGGGCAGCTGAGGGCAGCAGGAATAGGTGGTGGGAGAGTGCAGGGCAGCCAAAAGGGCAGAGATGGGGAGACAGGCGGGTGGGGTGATGTGATGGAAGGCATGAGCAGGGAAGGTTCTGGAATGGAGCTTCAAGGTCTCCAGGAGGGGGGAGAGACATTCCAGAGGAAGCACCTCCTCAGTCCCCAGCAGGAGTGTGGGAAAGCCAAGAGAATGAGACTGGCCCCTCCCTAGGGCCTCTTGGTTATCGTTACTGTTGTTGGGGATTAGAATTAGTTTGGCGAGATTCTGTCTATTAGGTTTAAGCTAATAAAGGAGCTAATCTCTTCTGGACTGTCTCGCTGTTGTTCTTGGGCTGAACCTGACAGGTAGTGCAGGAGAAGCATGAGGTCCTTGCTTAATGACCGCATGGTCCTGGCCTAACAACTGCAACCAGGACTACTGGAACTGCCATCACTGAGTAGTGGGGTCATGTGATGTTTCATCTAACGACTGCTTTGCTTAGCCACAGAAATTCCAGTCCCAATTAGAGGGGTTGGATGAGGGCTACCTGTAGATGTCTCTCTCACTTTTTATTGTCAACCAACCTATGTAGTGGATTAGGCTGAAAACGTGCTAGTGGACCAAGATTGTCTAGTGAATTATATAAATGATTGGAGATTGAAACTAATGTGTCTCTGTCTTTAATTTGAAAATCCTAGCTGATATGGTTATGGATATGGATATGGTCTCTAGATAGCACATTTGGAAAAAAAAATAGGAGCTTTGTATTAAAGGTGGCAGTAACTTCTAAGAGTGACTTTGCAATGTGAGCTGTTCCAAAGTTATTTTTTAAATATTTTTGCTGCTGTCATTGCCTTACTTATTCATCTGTTGGTGCATTTTATGCTTCGTCTTAAATGCTGCAGTAACTTCTAAGGGTGACTTTGCAATATGAGCTGCTGCAAAGATGTTTTTTAAACGTTTTTGCTGCTGTCATGGCCATACTTACCTGTTGATGCATTTTATGTTTTCTCTTTTTCTGCTTTGTAATGTTATGCTTGTGAATGACCTAGGGTTGACTCAGATACATTGATTTAGGTTTTTTTAAAGCTGACATGAGTATTATTTTTTCCCTTTTTAGCATAACAAACATTTGTACTTCCTCACATAGAGCACCAAGGTTGAAAAGGGAACCTCTGGCTGGAAAACGTAGTGAGGCTGAGGAGAACAATATCCTTCCTCCATTTAAAGATATCTCATGGAGTCCTTCCAGCAGGACAGAAGATGTGAGGATTCAGGGTTTTTATTGTGGACCAAGAGGCAATTTGGAAAGAAACTCTGGAGGGGATGTGGAGGGCCCAGGGCCCAGCAGCCTTTCCTATCAAGACGCTACTGCTGATGCAATGTTTCTGGATTTTGAATCTTTGCAAATGATGAAGGAGGACTCTGAGGAAGACGATGCCAGTGACCTTTCTGATTCAGAAAGAATTCCTATCCCTCCTTCACCTTGCACACCACCAGAGCTCAATCTGCGAGCAGAGGAGATCGACCCCGTTTGTTTTGAACACCTCTTTGAGACGCAGCGGAAGCAACCAGACTACTATTACCCGGACTTTCTCCCACCGCCTTATAACAGCTGGGACTTGAAAGGTCTGGCTGTGTTCATCAACACCGAGTGCAAATCAGAACCCCGACCAGAACCGGCTGGATTTCTTGAGAAGTATGTTGATCGTCTTTTGCAGCTGGAATGGCTGCAAATGCAAACCGTGCAAGCTGAGAAAGGAAAGGTAACCAAAGCTCGGGCTCAAACTGCTCCTAGCATCCTCCGGTCTTTGAAAAGTTCTGGCAAAAGCAAATTATTGCACAGCTCTTTAGCAAATAAACAGCTGACTCTCCATGGAAACTTTCCAAGAGTCCCTACTGCAGGTCTCAGAAAAGATTTTCATGGGGAAAGGACCAACCAGGTGCCCCCTCCTGAGAGTCAGTTGAAGTCCACTGGGGCAACCCATGGCTCATCAGTCCACCAGAGGAGGCCTTCTGAGGTGAGGAATGAGACAAAAAAGCGGCCCGCCATCAAGCAGCATTTGGTCAGCATGCATTCTTTTGAGATCCAGGGATCTTCCATGATCCATGGAGCTGGCAACATGAGACCTCCCAAGCAATCTTCATTTCATGGAGCCACTGCCCCCCTTAAGGGGTTACCGGCCCATATATACCCAAATCCCAAGAACGGAAATACTAATAATTATGCTTCTTCCAAAAAAGCTTCAGCAGATACCAAGCTAAAAACAAATGGCCTGAAACAAACACGGTGCAAATTTAAATAATGCTTGGACAGGGTTTGTTGCCTCGGTACAGCAAGGTCTGGTAGCCCTTTTCCTTGTGCAGCAAAAATCTAGGATGGTGGTTCTTGAACTTTGAGGTAGACCTTCATAGGGAGATGCTATCATGTCCTTGACTTCTCACTCTGTGTTGTGATTGGTCCTGGAGACAAGAATTCTGATTCCTCCCTGCCTCATCAATTGGAAATTTAGGTATCCTGGCCCTTGTGACGTTTGCAATTGCAGGACACCACGGTATGAGATGTTTGTCTTCCCAGAATTCCTTCCATAAGCATGAAAGATCAAAACGTGCTCACAGCCCATATACTCATGGCCCCCCTTTTTAAAAAGTTGTGATGTGAGGCCAGGCATTCTTTTTCTCTTGTGGTAAATTCTTGCAGTTGGCTTTTTATAGGGAAATATCACCTTTAAAATTCATTCTTCTATGATGTACGAGTTATATGATGTTATGGGGCAAACTAAAGATTGAGTGGTAAGAAAATGTACATAAACAAAAAAGTGTAACTTTCTCCTAATTCCCATGATTTCAGCATATAAGAACATTTCTCTCCTTGTGCTCAGATTTTCCTCTTTAAAACTGTACATTTGATCTCTTTGTTTAGGACAGCATCTATAGACTGCTTTTCAATCTGGAACAAGAAATCCCAAAGTAATTTACAAGGCATCTATATTTGGAGATGTTGTTGGCTGCTATTATTATTATTATTATTATTATTATTATTATTATTATTATTATTATTATTATTATTATCGAACTAGAATATTTTACAACTTTTAATTTGGGGCTGGCCTGGGGAGATGTAGGGTATGATGAGTTGATGATGCTTTCAAAGACTTCTGTAGATCAGTTGGAAGGAAGGATGCTGGAGAATATGGAGAAATAAGAAAGATTCAGGAGAAAGTAATGAAAAGAAAGACCACCTCTGCAGGAGTCAAATGACCATCTGCCTGGGAATTCTATGATTTTCAATCTTGACACGTAGTATATACCATGTTAGGGACTCCTGTCCTAGAGCCATTTTCGCCCATGGTTCATAGTTGATCAAAAAGTTATTTTCTAATTTATCAGGAAGTTAAAGAAAATATAGTTTGATGGGTGGGAGAATCATTTCAAATTTCTTCTTCCTTGACTTTGGAACAGTTGAGTAAAGCAAATGAGATCACGTTCTTTGCTTCAGTTAGCAGTTACAGATCCTTTCTTACATATTGTTTATTTTTTTATTTTATATTCCTTCCAACGCCTTAGGAGTTTTTAAAACAGAACCAGCAAGCTTAATCTATGCAAAGTCAGACACTCATATTCAGTTTCTCCACCACTATCATTTTTTATTGGTTACCTAGAAGAGCAAAATAAGGACATTTCCAGACATCCATTTTCTCAGCAACTGTAAGTGTAACTTGAACAGTGAATCTGCTGCTTCTCCACAGCTGCTGAACAGGGATCAGCCCAGTTAATATGTGACACATCAGCCACTTAGTCACCCACAAAAATACCACAATTGTGAAAGAAACACACTTACCTTGATAATCTAGCCCTATTCTCATGACACATTCAGTGGGAAGAAGTCGTATGTTGTGGAATACCTTAAAAGGATCAGTTGATCCAGTTAACTAAACTCCATGGGCAGAGGTGTCTGCAGCAAGGTGGGACCAGGTGTGGGAAGCCCCATCCCTCACTGACATCACTGTTCTTTTTTTATGTGTCTTGGGAGGGTGGGGAGGCTTGTATAGGGATATATCCATCCCTCCATCCATTCCTCCATCCATCCCATGTTCTGCTTAGATTCTTTTATTAATTTTCCTGGGAATCAACATGAATTGGCTTCACTGCCTACAATGCAATTGCTCCTGCCTAGGAGTTAGGTTTAGCCCCAAACAGACCAGGGTTTTCTTGGGTAACCTCTGCAAGTCAAATCACTCCTCTCTTACCAAAAGATTACTTCTTTCTTATAAAGTCCACAGTCGGTATGGTCCTAGACGTCTCTCTAAATCAGAGTTTCTCAACCTTGGCAGTGTCCAGATATGTGGACTTCAATTCCCAGAATTCACATCAATGGCCATGCTGGCTGAGGAATTCTGGAATTTGAAGTGCAGGCACTTAGAAATTGCCAAGATTAACAGTTCTATAAATATTATGTCTCTCTGGTGGTTTTGGTTTTCACCTCTCCTGGCAGAGTTGGAGTAGAAAAGGATCAGAAGCAGGTGGAGGGTATGTACAGTTGTGAACCTATCCACAGATAGCACCCCTCTCTCCAGAGAGGAAAGCAATAAAAGGCATGAACCAGAAAGAGAAATACAAGCCTCCCAGCTGTTTTGTGGCAGCTGGAAGGACTAACGATTGTCAAATGACTAATGGAGTCCTCCAAGATGATGTATTATTGCCAGCGTGCAAAAGTGAATCAAAAATGAGAAAGAGGATAGTTGGATTGCTTGTGCCATGAGAATAGGGTCACCAAGAAGAACATCTGAGCAATACAATAGTGAATTTGGTTAGGTTTTTCTTTTTTTCTAATAAACCATTTCACTTAATAATTTTTTATTTTAAGAATTGTAGCCAGGAAGACTGGCCTGCTTCTTTCCATAATATCTGGAAATAATATACTAAATATTATTATATACTGAAAATCGGACATTGTAATGCTGTGCTAGCTATCTGTCATTAACTGCCAATGATACAGAGCAGGGAAGAAGAGACTGTTATAGTAAGACTGTTATAGTACCTCAATAATGTTTTAATAAATGTTATTGAAGGGGGATTCAGCACACAGCTGCTGCTGTTTTGAGTAGCAGCTCTGCTCTTACCATGAGGGCTAGTTTGATCATCAGGAAATGAATTCATTCTTTCACTTGTACGTGTAGCCTAAGGCTGGCCAAAGCATTTGCAAGTGGTTTAAAACAAAATGAAACACCACACCCCATCTTTGTAGGTAGCTGCATTGGTAAGGTCCAATTTGAAAGTCCCTGGTGCTTCCAAAAGATGCAGTGTTTCATGAGAGCTTTGGGGAAGAAGAACTCTGTAGTTCTGAGGACACAGTAAGTCACAGAAGTACTGTTTTAGAGCGAAGGGCAATTTCACAGAGAATGCATTTGTCCCAGTTGGATGCCAGGATGTGCAAATAAACACTGCCCCCTCGGTAGAGTGAGTTGAGATGTATTATGCAGTAATGTGGAGCAGACCAAAGCTTTTACCCCCAGATTTACACTATTTTGTATTTGGTAAGCAGAATATAATTATGCACAAGTAATCAAGGTATTTTCCTATCACCCTTCACTGAATGGTGAAGGGATCGCTGACGTGATTCTCCAGTTTTTTAAAGCTGTGATTTATATACAAAGTTAATTGAGCTATATATGTAATTAAATTGACTTTATTATTTATCCTGCACTCTCTTTACCCAACCATAACAATGTAAGGTTAGAAAC